GGGGATTTTCTGCGTCAGTCTTCTAAGTGGGAGCCACTACATCATAAAAGAATATCCTCTCAGTGTTTATACTCCTGTTCACTAACACCAGACAACTTATTTCTTTCACGAAGAGACTTGATTGGTTTTACCCACAGCACCATACTGGACAGTCCTAAGTAGACAAAACTTAATAATTTTTAAATTGGGATTTTTCATCCTGCATATCCAGGTTACACTGCCTGCTGACTTGGGCTTACATGCAAGGCCTCTTCCATACCAATGCTGCTATTAAGACAATCATATTACTTCATGTATTTCAGCCTAATAAACTCCATGGATTTGGGTAACTTTATTTAATGGTGGCACTTTATTATTTTTCTGAAGCCCTTCCTAGCTGAGCTGGCTGAGTAGAGCACACAGGCTCTACCCAATAGCTGATCTCAGTTACGTGTAACACAGTCAAATAGAGTTGTACATGAACATGCTAGATAAACACAGAGAGTGCTGTTATCTGAAGCAGTATCATACTTACTCAGGTCTAAGATCAAGCAGATCTATTGATCTGGTCTTTGACTCACCACCTTCTACATATTCCAGAATAATTCCTTTAAAAACAAGTGATAAACAGGTCATAATTAGACTTCTGAAGTTTTATAACATGCACTGTAGACAGCAGCACTCACACTTTCATAGCTCCACCAGCTTCAGGAGACTCAGTTCCAGTTCTTGGAGCTGGAAGGAGGTTGGCTGCCATGGCTGAGAGCAAGCATGGTGATTAACAACTCTGATATGCTTATAAGAAAAAGGATATTAAACAATATTATTTCTGAGATATTTTCTATTCTGGAAATGAACAAGCTCTTTTTTCCAACAACATTTTGCATCACGTCATCAGCATTAATTTCAAAGAAGCTGTCCTGAAGATACTTGCTGTAGTTTGGTGTCCCAGGAAGCCTAGAAAACATGTTTTGCAAAACCCATTATATTTATTCTAGTCTTTGCAAAGGCTTGAGTGCAGTAATGTATCAGAAATCATAAAACGCTTTACATTCCCAGGTTTGCTCTGGCACCTCTGCAACTTCCACTGAACTGGAGTATTAAAATGTTTAACCACATGGCTTGCTGTTTTGAAACAGCTGATAAAGGGCTCAGCTGCTCCTTGACTTTGTGGGAAAAGATAATTTAGATAAACTTCTGTGTCATTCTGCATTTCACAAAATTCACAGGAAAAGTCACACACTTCTGTGACTACACTGTTCACAAGCTTCTTCCATTTCTTTATGTGTTGGCACTGCAATAAGTAAACCATCCATGTAATGTATGATTATTGCTTGTGGATATTTCTGTCAAGCTGGAGACAAAGCCCGTGCCACAAATCACTGGCAGAAAGTGGGTGAGTTTTTGAATTTGAAAGGAAGATCCTTTTTACCAATACAATTCCTGAGCTGGCCACCTCCAGCTTGTTTCACTTCTGAAAATTCACTGAGTCACCTGAGTACAGGATACACCATGCCAATCTGGCAGCATTGCTTTTCAAAGCACGGCTCCACTCAGAAAACTCATAAATGAAGGATACAAAATAGGAATTAGTATCAGCTAGGCTGGAAAAGGCCTCTGGGATCATTATTAAGTCCAACCCATAAGCAAACACCACCTTGTTAACCAAACCCTGGCACTGAGTGCCAGTCCTTAAACACCTCAGTGATGGTGGCTGCACCACCTCTCTGGGCAGCCGCCTCAGCGCCATGGCCGCCACCGCCGCCCGGCCCGCGCGTCCGCCCGCAGCCATGGCAACGGCCCGACGCGCATGCGCGGCTGCGGCGCGGCGCTGAGGCGCCGGGCCCGCCATGGCGGGTGTGGGCTGTGCCGCTGTGGCTGCGCAGCCGGGTCAGCGCTAGCGGCCCCGGGCTGGCACTTGGCACTGTATCGTCCTACAGAGCTGCCAGGGCTGCTACACTGAGAGGAAAGGAGCGGTCTAGAAAGGAGTGCGCTAAAATATACGTATAAAATTCGGAGTGCCAAAGAGCCGCTAGTAACGGCATAGCAAATGTGTGAAAGCTTTTTGGAAAGTGAATAGTTACTTACTAAGGAAAGAGGGCAATGATTAAATTAAAAAAAGAAAAACCTAATCAGTTTAGTTTTTTTAAAGAGATAGGGCAGAAGCACAACTATGAAAACACGGTTTAGAATCACAGAATCATTAAGGCTGGAAAGGCCTTGCAATAGAGACCAGCCATTGACCAGCACCACCACGTTCACCACTAAACCAAGGCCACACGCCTTCAGAGCACTGCCAGGAATGCTGATTCCACCAGTTCCCTCAGCAGCTCTTAACTTCCAATCTAAACCATGCCCTGGCACAATCTGAGGCCATTTCCACTCATCCTGTCACTTATTACCCACAGAAGAGACCCACCCTGCCTCGCTCCTTGCAGGTGTCACCCCCAGACTCCTTCTCCCCAGCTCCCTGCGTCAGTTTCACTGCCTTTCTTTGCATGTGCATGTCATCAAAAAGAGAAGAAAACACGTAATTGAAAAGAGAGAACCAACATGGAGTCATGAGAAGATAATAGCATTTATAGCGTGGAAAATTTGTGTCAAGCTTTATGTTGAAATGGCTGTAGAGCATCAATAGGGGGAAGCAGTAAACACATTCTCATTTGGCCGATCTGGTGGCCCACATTGTTGACAATGGATCAATACAAGACAGTCCCACTCAGTGTTTAACAATACAAGAGTTTTTCCAAAAACACCCATATGGCTCCCTACAGCTTCACTTTGAAGACAGTCCTTTGATTTTTTGAAAGCCAGGAAATAAAATACAATGGCCAATTCCAGACTTATTTCAGGACATGGCTGGGGGACAAAGTGGTCTCCAAATTTTTCATTCCCACTTGTTTGTTTTAAGTCTTTTATCTTGTTTGTATGTGGCAAGTCTTGAGGCAGATAAGAAATATTTTTATTGAAAACAATCTGAACAGCTTTCCGACGGAATTGACTTACTTGGACCAACCCTGTTCAAAAATAACTTTTTTAACAACCCCAAATCTTGGTGGTCTCCAATTTCTTAACAACTTTTTGTATTTGTTCAGCACAATATTTATTCACCCAGATTATAAATTCAGAATAGAAATATTTTTCTGTTCTTTTAACTTAAATGACGTGATCAAACAACTGTGGCAAGGACAGTGCTTCTTACCTTACAACATAATTTGTTCATCATAAACACAGAGATTCATGCAGCCTTTCTGGTACCTTCAGTATTATTTAACACCAACTGGAAGTACTACATTTAATTGTTTTAGTCATATTTAAACAAAATAGTCAAACCAGGGGAGGGAAATGGAAGGACTGCAAAGCTCCATGACGTCAGTACCTGTTGATCACAACGTTTTCCCCTCACTTTCTTACTCCAAATCTCCATCTGAACACCTCACAATTTGTCCTTACCTGTTATTAGGATGCAATAATGACACGAGATGATAAATGAGGCCTCAGCTGTCACCTCTTTCTTTGCTTCTGTAAACATAAGATGAGGGAGCAGTGGAGTCATGGCAGAAGTCAATCCCTCTGAGCCCTGTGCCTGCTCTCCAGGCCGACCCAGAGAGGCACTGATGTGATGGCCTTGTTTGCTCCACTCCTGTGCGGTCACTGGAAAACCCTGCTGACCACCTGAGTGGGGACAAGGAGCTCACTCTGTGCCAAGACGAAGCTTTCCCCACAGTGCTACCCAGGATGGGCCTGGGTGAAAATACATGTACAATGACACAGTGTGTCCTTCTGGCAAAACAGAACCAGAGCTGTAGCACCGGTGGGATTACCTGGGGAGGCTTTAGGCAAAAAGGGGAAAACTGTGGGGAAGGAGTGAATGGAAGGACTTGCTGTTTCATTTTTTCTTGGAGTCTAGATAAGGGGATTCTGATGATACAGCAGACTGAGCTCCTGTCCATGCCATTAAACCTTGACTGTTAAGGAGAAATGAGAAGGACTTGCTATTTCATTTTTTCTTGGAGTCTAGATAAGAGGGATTCTGATGATACAGCCGACTGAGCTCCTGTCCATGCCATTAAACCTTGACTGTTAAGGAGAAATGCAACTTTGCTCCAAGTTCATGGAAAGAAGCCACTAGTGCATACTTTTAGAAGGAATATTTTCAGGCTGCTGGGGCAAAATTGTTGCCCTGCTATTTTTCAGTGTCTAAAGAGTGCACACAACCTCTTAGTCATGAAAGACTGACTTCAAAGAATGCACCATGTAGGGAGTTCAAAAATATCTACACTGGAAGTAAAAATTAAATGCTGAGACATACATCTTTTATGCACAGAGATCAAAAATATTGATGATATCAGCCTGGAAAGATAATTTATAGAGCAGTTGCTCCCTGTGCATTTTTGCTTATCTCAGCAGCTTCCAGGGGAGGCAGAAAGTTGAGATGGTATAAAACTCATTGGTCTGTATTCAAGAGGCTTTGAAAGGCTTCAGTGTAGGTTATCTACAGTGCTGAAGGGAACTCTATCAGGCAATGTGAAGCAAAATCAGTGCAGTTACAATGAAGAACCACCTTTGGAGAACCTTGGGTTCTTCCTGCCAACACAGGTTCTGAAAAATCCTCTCTTGAGACAATGTACAATCCTAAGGATAAGGTGAAATAAGTGTTTCTGACTCAAACACAATTGCTTGTAGAGAAGAGTGGGGTTTAGGCTTTCTGGTTTAAAGTTGCATCATGACCCACTTGTTCTGAAGTAGGTCAGCCTGTGGTGTGCTGAACTCAGTCAGAAAGTCCAGCCCAAGTGTAGTCTGAGTAGAGAGAAAGATGTAGAAAGCCACTTCCTATGTCTGTTATGCCAGCAGTGGGTGAAGTGAATTTTACTAAGGGGAGTTTTTGTGTGTTGTCCTTTCTCATCATTTTCAGGTCTGTAGAATACAGAAGAACAGTTCTCTGATAGTTCCTTGTTTCTGCTTGGTGAATTAAACAGATTTACATCTTTTTTTCCCAAGGTTGTTTTATTCCGGCCTATTCTCTTCCTCTTACCCAAACAGACTCAATGCATTGCTAAAGCTCCTTCTCACTTCTGCTCTGTTATTTCCAATGCTAATCATGACACCACAGCCACGAAAATGTTAAAACTATTACTTACATAAGGGACTTTATGTTCTGGGAGTTTTCCCTTTGCTAGGTAAGAGCTGTTCCAGGAGAAGGAAGTGACAGTGCATTGTAGAACAGTGTTCTCTTTCCCAAGGATTGTTTATCCTCTTTGCATGGCCATTTTCATTAATTTAAAAATCTAAAATAAAAATAATACTGGTTGCAATTTGCCAAGAAAATGTGTCACCCACAAATTTCTGTTCAGACGAATAGTTGCTTGTGATGTTCGCCTACAGTGAGATAATAACAAGTCGCAGAAAGGAACAGTAGTTCTCTTCCTTACTTTTCCATTTTCCATCTCTGACAAATTGCTTGCATATCCCATGCAGTCAGGGAATTTCATACATCCTTACTTGCTTCAGTCAAATTTTCACTTAACTGAAACAAATTTTTCCTTCCTGTCCACTTTTTATGACTTTCCTCTTAACCTTGCCAAGTTTATGAGTTGAACTGACAACAAAAAAATCCTCAGTACAAAAACCCCAATGAGATATATTTATCTTACCGCTTCTGAGAAGAACTCAGAGATGACTTTAATCTTTCTTTCCATGGCCCATGGGTGCTGAGGACCTTTAGGCTGAGCTCTGCATCGTCCCATCAAGACGGCGAGGCTGACGGTGTTGGGTAATAACGCAAGTGTTCTGCGGTCAGTCGTTTTCAGATGCACCCAGTGAGGAAGAGAGAGGAGCTCTTCTACATATACATAATGCACAATTGGGTCAAACCATGAGTCAGGAGGCAGCAAAAACTCCTGACAAATAACAAGATTTCTAGTAAGTCTACAATAGAACTGGAAAATATAAGTAGTGAAAGCCACTTTGTTTTAGAAAACACGACTCCGCAGAAGTGTGTTCATCTCACCATTGTTTGTCATAATTTTTTTTTTTTAAAGCCAGAATAACTAACTTATGATTTCATATTTATTATCTATAATTCTGAAATTTATTAAGCAATTCACTTAAGCAGTTCTTTTCTCCATATCTGTTTCAAGGCCAGGTTGGTTGGGTTTGGATGGGTCTGTAAGCAACCTGGTCTAGTGGAAGGTGTCCCTGCCCATGTCAGGGAGGTGGAAACTGGATGATCTTTAAGGTCCCTTCTAACCCAAACCATTCTATGATTCTATAGTCCTTCAATAAGTGTGCTAGTCTTACTACATTGTCTTCTCTTCTTTACCATCATTTTGATGTTCTTCATATGGATGTGCAAAACAAAGTGCATATATATCAACCATTAATTGTAATTAGCAGTAATACAGCACTACCCGCTTTCATAGTCATGAAACATTTTTGCCTACTCTTGTACCAATTTGGGGAATGCTATAGAGATTTGAGATTTGGTATCTTTGAGATTTGCAATATCTCAGATATCTGAGATTTGCATCATCTCTGAAAGACATTTTGACCATTTATTCCTAGTCATAAAAACATAAAACATTCAGATGCTCACAGGAACACACAATAATCTCTTTGAAACAGCTGTATTACATGTACATTTGAAAAAAAAAAACCAGCACTGTAGTAGGATATATAGCCTAAACATTATTAATTTTCAGATATGCAGGACAAACTTTTATGTGAGCATTTTGATTTGCATTCCCTAAACACAGCTGTATTCTTATTCATACATGAGATGCAATTCATACGTGAGTGAACAACTGAAGTCACTCTATACACTGACCACTCTACAGCTCTGATTTACCTGCCATATTAAATTTGTCATTCTCAATTTCCCATTTGCCTACTTTGAATGTTTATAGAGTTATCACTGGCTTTGTGCCTGACTAACGATGCTGCAAGGATATTGAACTACTAGTTTAATCTTGACACTGTAATTGACAATTTCGCAAGTGGACCACTTACTGGAACCCATTTCCACTGGCACACTCTGATCAGATGGCTTGGTCAGGCTGTCTGCTCCCCCACAGGTCTGAGGCTGTAGCTCCCGACAGATTTGTAATGTTTCTCTGCCCTTGGCACCTAATGATGCTATCTGCTGGCACCTCCATATTGTGTAAATCAAAGCAGAAATATTTTGTGCTCTGTTTTAAACTCTTTGGTACATGCCTACACTAACTATGGACCCCCAACTGCGCTATTTCCATGCTTCACATTTCCTGAGTTGCCTTATCTTGTAGCTGTCTATTAAATGGATCCTATCATTCAGGTTTTCTCACCAGGAAGCCCAGGTGGGCCACCCTGCTCCCATTTCCACAACCTGGTTTGTATGTTTGTTTGTTTCCTGCTCCCTCCTTCTTATCACGGGCACGTCTCTTAACCAGGTGTCATCTTACAGAAAGGATATCTGATATTACAGCTACTTGTGTGTGTCCTCTCCTGCACTGTGACACGGACAGCTAATGATAGCCTGGCTGTGCTGAATTGTCCCGAAAGGCCATTCCATCCCTCTCCAGCAGTAAAGGCATCAAGAGAAAAAAAAATCTAACCTATAAACCAAACAGATAGAAAGAACGTAGGCATCTTCAGCCTCAGCTAGAACAGCCGTTGTTTTCACTGAAAAAAGGGACTCAAGATCATAATTTCTGATAACTGGAAGTAGTGTTCACTGAAAGAAACATGGCAATGACCTTCCTGTTAAATTTCACTACTACAGCTGCTACACAAAAACATGTGTTGGGTGTTGAAACATCATGCAACTAGCTTGGATGTGAAAAGGTGTTGACGTATTTTCCACTTGTTTGTCTGGGTTTATTTTGAGGGCTAGAAAAAATAGTCATTATGAGGCTTAGATTTTTAAGTAAATCAAGATACTTCATGAAAACCTGGTATGCTGAAATGCATTGGATACAAAAAAAATTAATCAAGGGGCTTAGGTTTTTAAATTTATATGTGTGGCAATTAATTTTATATTCAATGGACCTGATTTGATTGCATCTCATGAATATTAAGAGTTGGGAAGAAACCAAATTTAACAGAACCTGTGATGCAACTCTTTATCTGTAGAACAGATTCCTATACAAAGTCAACTCCCACTCGTATCAGCCACCACTTCTGAAAGCAAGGGTAGTACTCTTTCTCCTTGGATGCTCATATCCCTTTGCTGGCAGTATCAGTCTAGGAGAAAGTGCCATGTGCAATCTCTCTCTCCTCACTTTTGTACATCAGCTGTGTTGCCACAAGGGTGGATAAAATCCCTGTCATATAGGATATGCCTTGTAAATATATCCAACAAATTCTTTATATGGACACTATTTAGAGAACAGCTGTTTTTTTATAGAGTTTCAACCCGAATTATAAATTTTCTCCTTGATACAAAGTCATGGAAACAAAACTATAGAAATGCTGTTGTAAATTTAAAAACAAAAATTAAATATAGTATTTTTGTCTCTACTTTTGATGTGGCATATTTGCTTTTTATGCATTCAGTATTCTAAATTTCATCTGCTGCTTTTACATTTAATATTATTTTGTATTGCATAATATTTGAATAACGCTAGAGATTCAAGAAAGCTAAAACACTATTAAATGTGTGCCTGGGTTTATTTGCAGTGGTAGGTCTATGAGCAATGCTCTATGGCTAATGTACAATAGCAGCCACAGGACTGCAGCTATTGTATATTGCATTTAAATGTTCTAACACCAGCAGCTCTAGGAGGGCTTTGGCTGGGAGCTGTCTGCACCTGCCAGCACAGAAAGAATAAACACAGCAATTCAAAAGCCTTTACAGACTTAGGACTGCCACACTGCTCAGTTAAGGCTGACACCTCCCAGAACAGAGCAACCACAAGATCATGGGAACATAAATCATAGTTTTCATTTATGTACAGTCATACAGCTGTAATTGGTTATTATACTTAGCATGCAAAATGCAGTGGGCTTGTTCTGAAGACTAAAAGCTTCTTTTATGATTCATTTTTTGGCAAAGGATGTTGCCTGTAGCCTGATATTTGGAGCAAGGGTGCCAGGGTGTAACACAGCTGAACTCAGTGTACAGAAAATCTGTTACAATTGATCCATTTCTATTGTTTTGATGTTTTTCCAGCTGGGTGGATACCATCAGAATCAAGTGACAGTGTCATAAGCTTAAAGCCCTTTGCAGTTCTGGAGTTCCCCAGTTCAATTCTCAACAAAATTGCAGCTGAGTAGTGCACTCGAGTTCATCAGGAGTGAAGTTAGGCTGCACGTGGGCTCGTTGGGAATTGAAAATAACTGACCAATTATCCACATCCCTGTGGGGGGGCTGAAAGTGTCACTGGCACCACCCAGTAAAGCTGGGGTTTGAGATATGACTGAAAGCTGTGCACTGCAGGACAAGGCCACTCACCCATTTGTCTCTTGGATTTGAGGGGGCTTTACAACCCCTCTTCGTGTTTTTCCCCTTTTGGTGGAAAAATGAGGATACAAGGAAGGGGTAAAACAGTCTTCAGCTCAGGGAAGCTGCCATCAACTGAAGAGAAATGCAATAAATAACTTCTGAGTACTTCTCCAGCAGACGAAATGTGGCAGGTTTTATATTTTAACAGCAAAATTAAATCATAAGATTTGCCATTCCTTACAAAAGTCCCTGACCACGCAGTGCTAGTTATTTTGTCACTTTGTGCTGAAGTGTGACTTTAAAAAAATTAGAAATTAGTAAATCTAGTTATGATTCCATATATGAACAGAAATTTTTCTGTCAAAGATCCTAACACAACAAAAGGCTGCAATTCCTGATTTGGAAAGGTGTGAGATTGTTTTGTGGTAAAAAAAAAAAATAATTGAAAAAGAAATTTAAAAAAAATTATTTAAAAAAGCAAAGAACGAACAGACACAAATAGGATTCAATAGCAGTACTGCAGCTAGCACAAGAATCACTGAGGACTGGTTTCAATACAGAGAAAGCAGGACACTTTGAAACTGAAGTATAAAGTGCTCATAGTTTGAAGGAAAAGCTCTCACATCCACCTCCCAAATATCCAAGCTATAATAAAAAACATTTTGCAAGAAAAAATTTTTTTTTATTTTTTAAACATTATGCAAATTGAAGAGAAATAGTCTCCAAATTACCATTATTTAATTCTTCATCTCAAATTATTCAATAAAATCACACAGGCTGAATTAGGAGCTGAAGGTCAAAGAGAGGAGACAGAGACTCACCTACTCACATGCAGAACAGTCCCACCAAAGTAATCAGGATTCAGTTTTTTCTAGAAAGGGTCATGATTTACAGAGCTGTCAGAACTTCTAACTGACTACTTAAGGTTACATACAAAAATGTGCCTCTGATATGATGATATTGGAGTCCCAGCACTCAGTTACAATGCCTGTTTGTATCCTCAGGAAGGGGACAGGCTATTTCTACACAGACTTTCTTACCAGTAATATAACAACCATAGCAATTTCGGATATTGAGCATGGAAACCAATATTTTCAATACCTTTCCTCTTCCCAAGGGGTTGATTATAAAAAAAATTCACCCAGAATAAGAGGAACTAAAAAGAAATCCCTCAAGTCATAGCTCTGTGGATAGAGCATGTGGGGTTTTGTAGCAATGGTACCATGGATAAGCAGAGGAAGCATGAGTTACAGAAGCAATGCAAAACTTTAAAGAAGCCTGAACTGGGAATGAAGAGCCACCCACAGAATTCCACACACTGGTCTTCACTTCCTTATTTTGCTCCCCTGCTTTAAATTCAGCCTTTGGACTTCAGGCTTTTCTGTACCAAGTTCTTTTACAGCTCTGGTTCCTAAACCAATTCGCAGGGTAGGCTTGGGAAACTTTTAACACAAACCCGTTCATCGTGTCTGTACCACTTTTTGGTACCTGATTTAGCCTGTGAACTCTTTGAGCCCAGGCAGCCCATACCAGTGCTAGCAGGAATAAGACAAAGCTCCACACTTCTGCCCAGAAGTTAGGGGAATGCCCAGAACAAGCTGGGTAATTACTTCTCCCCAGAGAATACCTTATGTTCGCAATATCAGGAATCCACCTGAAGGAAATTAAAGCTAATTAATTTTGCTAATTTAGATACCTTGCTCCTTGAGAGTTTCACCCACAGGGAACTGACAAGTTCCAGATTTGTAGAGCCACAAGCAATTTTTTTAAGTTCTAGCAGGTGTTGAAACCAGAAGATAACAGCCTTACACTCATGAACACCATTTTAAAAACCCAGTATCTCTCAGCTCCTCTCTTAAGGGCACCAAAAATACTTTGCCTTTAAGTTTAAAAATTAAATTAAATTAGTGCTTGTGTTTCCATGACTAAAAGGTACTAAGAGGCAAGATGTAAATTTATCCACAAGACTCCTGTGCTGACAGTGGGAGGACTTCACTTGCACACCCTACATGATCACATCCCTGAAGTCCACATGGGCCATGTAAGTGAGGATAAAAAGCTGAGCCCACCTGCACCCATCTCTTCCATGAGGTCTCATTATTTTATCCCTGACCTCCATCAAGAACTCCTGCATCAGGAAAACCTCATTATGCTGGAGGCCACAGGCAGACACAAAAAGGATACCACAAGCAGACACAAAAAGCAGAGGAAAGCACTGCAAGTTTCTCCTCTAGAGAAAGCCCTTTAGGTTGAGAGCAGACTGTTACCACAACGAATCCTCCTCGGTGCATAAGCTAGAAGCTTGCCCAGTAATGTGTAAGGCTCCTCCTGAATAAGCAGAGAAATTGGCAAAAGCAGTTCTTTTGAGTCTGATTAAGATGAAGCTAAGTCTTCATGGTAAGCAGAACTTGATATATAGCAGCTGTGTGAGGGTGAGGAAGGAATTACACCCTATGGAGGTCATAGCTACCCCTGGGGCAAGCAAAGTGAGTAAGGTGGAAAGTGGCTGTAACAGGTGTCAACACACCTGTGAAATTGTTTCACCTGGAGGCTCTTAACAAAGGAATTAATTTCAAGGAGAAGTCATATTTTCAATTAAAAAGAAATAAACATATCACAGTGGGTGCTGATTTTAACATTTATTTTTTTTAAATCTTCAATTACCAATTTTTTCTGCAAACAGACTTTATTTAACAATAGTTCAAGAGGTATTATAATGGTTAAAGGAAACATTTTGGCACAAGACAATAACAAAATAAACAGAATAAATAACCTGCTTTACATATGCTGAAGAAAACAAAACCAACATGCAATAAACTTAATAAAATTCACACTCTGTACAACAGCTCGAAGTAAATAATACTCATGTTCTATCACTAATATACACATATTAGTAAAAATAAAAACTTTAACAACATGCTTAACTCAAGCAAACCAGTGATGCAATATGAATCAACTCAAGAGTTCATGGGTTCCAAAGAAGCCAGAGTTGGAGGTGAGTGAGCACACAGCAGTGTACAAACCACCTCAGCCAGGAGCCTCAACCCAGGACTTCTTCAGCCATGTCTGTGTTTAGGCCCTTGCTGGACACTGTGTCAGGCTGACATCTTCCTGAGCTTGTGGCTGTTCAAAGGAAGAGAGAACACACATAAATAATGACCTCAATTATAGTTTTCTCTTCCCTGAGAGAATAGCTCAGGTGGAAGAAGGGATATGTGATATGACTGTCTCTGAGAAGACTCCAGAAAGGAGTAGCTAAGTCTGACAGGAGATGGAAAGAGATGGATTCCTACCTCAGGAAACGGAGATGTTTCTTCACCCAGCCTTCCTTAGGATTTACACAGGCGTTCCGCCCACTGGCAGTGTGGAAACTGGAAAAGAAATAATGATTAAGATATCAGAAATCCCTGCCAATAACTGCTGTGTGGAGTACAGTTACTCTATATAATGACCAATAGAAACTGCTTTTGTAAACACCAGCTAGACATGGAATGCTCCAAATCCCTCCAATATTATATGAAGAAAAAGAAAGTTAAATGTAATAGTTACTTCAGTCTCAGGGATCATTTTTTGCACCATAAAATGTTGTTCAATTTATTTGATCTGTTTAGGCAAAGACCTTTGCTGGATGCCAGAAACAATTTGTAAAATTGAGAATAGCTGCTGTCAAGCTAAGGTGACAGATCAACATCAAGGCCAAAACCTTGTAAGAAAAACATCTGATCCCTGTGAATTAGAAGGAGTCTTGTCACTTATGTATCTGTTCACAGGTTTTGGCAAGGGAGCACACTGTGCTGGCCAGAATGGCTCTTAGCTGGAGAAAAAAATTGTCTTTGTTTGCACAGCTGATTCCTAAAGAGTCAGATTTATTATTTACATTGAATGACTGTCCCTTGGGTTAGCAGTCCCTATCAACTAGAGGTTGTGTGTTTTGTTTACGGGTGTGATATACAATTTCTTTAGTTAATTTAACTTTCTGAAAAGGCAGGAAGAATCACCTTTATAACATTCAAATCCTGGTTTAGCCCAGACAGACATCCCAAGGATAATACAGGTCAGAAAAAACTGCAGAGATTCAGAAAGTTACTTACATGATGGCAGGGATGTCGCAGACCTCACTGGGGAGCTGTTCAGTGTAACCCTTCAGGGCCCACCGAGGCAGACGCACTTTGGTGTAGGACAGGCAGCAATCCTGGTTGCTTTGTGCTGGAATGAAGGACAACAACAAAGTAAATAAACCCCATTTGGCCCTGCTGTCTAGGGCACTCACTGTTCAACCCCAACCATCCAGCTTGCTCATGACAGAAGAGGTGGATGAGAGAGGAGACAGCACATTTTGGTGAAACCATTCCCTCCCAGCTCAGCCCCATCCTGCTGCCAGCTGTGAGCAGCACCAGGAGCCCTTCCCAGAGCAGAACACCCGAGGTCACTCACCTTCCGAGGTGCCCCACAGGAGCAGTGCCAGGAGCCCCAGCAGGGAAACCAGGACCATGCTCTTGCTGCTGCAGCCAGTCATTCCCTCTCCACACACAGCTGTGCTCCAGCGAGTGCCTGGCTGCTGCCTGCTGCTCCTGCCAGCCCTGCCTCACCTCCACCTGCTTATAAAGGGGTGGCAGGAGCCGCGGGAATTCACACACGGGCGGGTTCCAGTGTCATCAGCGGGTTTCCCCACAGCAAATTCCATTGCGCCCGATTTGGCCCCAGCAGTTCTTCCCGGTACTACAAACAGAGATAAGTGTGCTGGGGAATATTTTCTTTTTTTTTTTTTTTTAAAGTTGCTTAAAAGATTTGGTCTAAAAGAAAAGGAAAAAAAAGGCTGTGAGGTAATGTTTCTGTGGGTGAAGCGTGTGTAGAGGTAGGAGTGAAACGAGGAAAGAGGTGGGTGGGTGAAATGAGGATAGTCAAATGTAGGTAATTTAAACGTTACCTATAGAAACTGTGTGTCTGCTGTGCTCTAGTTTAATAAACACAGCCTGGGAGTAGAGGCAGGTGGGCTGAGCCAGCCAGATTCATTTCAGTGTGGCAAGCCCACAGGAGCTGGGTCACAAGCTGCACCAATGCCAAAGTACTACATTAATATTTCCTGGTTGGCCAACTCCGTAACATCGGACTTTCCAGATTACTGCTTTCTGAGCTCTGGACTGTGGTATTGGCAAGGACACATGAGCAACATTGAGTATTCATGGAAATGGGTTTATTTCGTTTCCTTAACCGTATATTCCTTGCCATGACTTCCTGCCAGGTTGTTACATGTCTGAACTATTTCATCTGCAACAGAATGAGCTTGAAACTTGAAACTGGGCCTATGTTCTCCAAATCTGTGCCTTCTAGAATGCATTAATGCACTTAATAAACAATAGCCATAGTTTGTTGTTTTTCCAAAGTGTATCAGAGTATTGTGACTCCTGAACATTCAACAAAAATACACACAATCTTAAATTTGCCGCGCACAGCTCTAGAGAAACCACCAGGGAGAGGCTCTGTCACCACTCCAAGTACATTGTTTGAGGTGCTACTCAAGGATGGAGCTTTCCCATGCTGTTTAGGGATGTGTGTGAAACTACTGTGATGGCTGCAGGCCATGTCCTGGCCAGCCAGTGCTGACAGGAGCTGCTGCCAGCTCCAGGTGCTTATAGAGTAACCTGAGCTTTAAGTGACTTCTGTTAAGGTAGAGCTCATGGACAGTCATAGACAGTGCATAATTTCATGCCTTCTATCCTTCACAGAGTGCCAGTACCTCTCTCAAAGGGTGATTTGTAGAAATAGAAACAGCTTGAACTCTAGAACAGACTTATTCAGAGAAAGTAATTCTCTATGTAATAGTGAGAACTGAGGGAGTTTCATATGGCTGAGGTATACATGATCAACCTTGCAGTGTGCATGGCATCACATGTACTGGACAGGCTTCTCTGCACAGCCACAGCAACTGGCCAAAGGATGGGGAGGAGGCAACAAAGAACCCATGCCCTAATGAGTGCAGCATTTTGTGTTTTATGGATCATGGTGAAATGCCACAAAAGTTCAAAAAGATCAATGCTCTCAGTATGCAGCTATCTCTGCACTGCTTTAAAGACTATATGTCAGCATTAGGCAATGCCTCAAACTCACTGACTAGAATGGTAGTTTTTTCTTTTACATACAGGTTTCATGGATCCCAAATCTATTCTACCTATACCCAGCTCTGGCATTCCATATGCCATTTCCTAGGCCATGCTGTTATCCAGATGGAGTTGGCCTTGCACCTCATGTCTTCCTCATGACTCTACAGCTCTATTTCTTCTCCACCGAGTGCTCCTTGGACAGAATCTTCTCATCTGAGCTTTGACACTTCCAGCTAAGCCCCAGCAGTTTGGATACCAGGGCGATGACTCTGCTCAGGCAGCGCTCACCCCCTAGGCCTGCCCTGAGGCAGTTTCCATCACACCAGTGGTTCCCACAGCTGACCAGGGCTGGTGACGTGCCTTGTCACAGCTGGACTCATGCTCATTTTAAAAGGTGTTCCTATTATCTCATTTTTTGTTTGATTTAGGAAATTAGGTTAAGATTTAGAACAACAGCCACAAGGAGGGCCCCAGCTTCAGGAGCACTGTCACTTTGTTTGTACTTGGTGTATACAAAGTACCCTCAGTTTATTTGCACAAAGTAGTTAATCCAAAAAGGTTTAATGCAAACAGCTGAAGAAAGCTCTGCTGGTTGTGATATGACACATAGCTGTATCTTATCAGTCTTTACCTTCACAAACCCCTAATGGAAACAGAAGGCAAAAAATATAAAAAAGCAAGAAGGTGCTTATATGTCCCAGGGAAGTGTTTTTCATTATTCCCTGGGAGTGAGGGGACAGTGACTGTTGTCCACCCTGACCCAGCCAGACTTTAAACCTGGTTTCCTCTGGCACCTGCATGACCAAGTGGGGCCTTGTGGGCTGGCCAGGGACTGCCACGCAGCCATGAGGCTGCCAGGCCCTGGGGTAGCCAGTGGCACCTCCAGACCTGTTCCTGGCTCAGTTGTAGGAGCCATATAAATGTGTTTAGTGTCCTAACACTACTGCAGTTCAAAGGCTACAACACTGAGGGGGCCACCAAGTCAAGGGCAGCCATCATTTCCCTTTCCTGGGGCCTGTGTAGGGAGCACTGTATCCAGGTCTCCTCAGAGAGTACAGCCAAAGCATGAGAGGTATCAGCCACAAGCTGTGAAAAGCTAAATTCCAATCAGACATAGAGAAGCCACCTCTCCATAGCAAGGGGGTGAGGCACTGGGACATGTTGCCAGGATGGAAAAGCCTAGTTTGAATACCCTTGCAGATACTCAAGCTGGATGTGGTCTTTACCTGAACATGATCTTAAACTTCGGTTCCTTCCCAAACCACAATCAACCCTAAATTATTTCTTCTGGGTTTTTCACATTTAGCTCTTAGTTTCTTATTTTAGTTCCCTGACTTATTTGTCTTCTTGACTTTGCTGTAAGCTTCTCAGCTTCCCTCCCTCCTGTTGTCCCTCCTCAGATCCCCTCACAACAACTGCAGTCACAGTAAGGCAGAGCAATAAAACACAGACTGACAAAGCCATCATCCTCTCCTTAGCTTCCTCTCCTGTTGTTCCAGGGGCCAGAGAAAGCAGGCTCAAACCCCTCCTGTGTGTAAGAGCAAAGGCAGCCTAGGTGCCAGTGTTGCAGAGCCATCCAGTCAGACCTGTGGAAGAAATGCATTAGGGAAAACAGAACCTTTTCCCTAGTAATACTGGGGAATTGACAGTTCTGAGCAGCTGGGGGGTGTTGAAGAGGAGAGCTGGGGACTCAAACTGCTCTCAGACACCATCTGCAAAGCTACAGCCAGAGGCAACTTTCTCTGCTCACCAAGCTGCTACATCCTGGTAATGTGCTTCCTCTCTTATATCCCAAAGGACTTTTACTCACAGAAATACCTGCTGAAAGTCTGAAGTGCTGAAGAGGACTTCATAGTTCAACCTTGATAAACACCTCCATACAGGGCAAAAAACTGGAGGGGAGGGGATGGGCTTACCACATCATTCTCCCCCTCACAGAAATGCACAGGAGCAGTCTACCTGGTTTCCATGCAAGGGGTAAAATACTTCATGGACTTTTGAAAAGAAAGACAGAGAAGGAATTTTATAATCATTAACCATTTGATTGTTGTCACTTTATGGGCTTAAGTCTAACATTAAAGATGAAAGACTAAATGAACTTGAATGTCAGACACTGTATCTTTACCTGTGCCCTACAATAAGATGAGAAACATACCGCCAGTTGTTAATGAACTAGCAGTTAACAAGTTTCCATGCTTTTCATCCTCACAAAGAGATATTGTTTTATTGCATATTAGTATCTTTTCTGAATTGATGTAAATAAAGTCTTACAGCAATAATGCTGATCATGCAGGAAACACAGAACCAAATGGGGGAAATTCCCTTCTGTAGTTTCCAAAGGTTTAGGACTCCTTTGATAGAGCAAAGTGCATGAGAAGGCAGTAGCCAGCAGGAACATTTCCAAATACGGGGAATTAATTATTGCGAAATCTCTGATGAGTAAATGCATAATAAGTACCAAGCACAAAAGTTCCAGAGGTAACTTGCTCAATACCTCTGGTGCTTTAGAGGCTGTGACTCAATCCAGTGATTTCAGGCAATTCAGTACTTGCATGACTGACAAAAGCTGTTAGCTGAGGAAGAAGTTAATTTTCACTAATTACAGGCTGCACTATGTTACAGACGTAGAAATACCACTGAATGACATTGCTTTGATGCAGTTATGGACAAGATATGTGCCTGTTAGGAGAAATTAACTTCTCATCTATCGAAAGTGCAGATTATGAGGAGTCCTGATGCACCTGCCAGGAACATCCTGGCAGCATCCCAGCACTACTGATTGCTTCCTGCTACCTACATACAGAAGCTGAATATCTAGTGTTCTGAGGGCAGATTTCTCTCTGCAAAGTTAACTCTACTCTGTCTACAGTCCCCTGGGGTGGCTGACCACCTTTTCACAGAAATGGACCTCTCAAATGTGATGCAAAAGCTTATGACTAGAAAGAAGAATGAAAAAAAAATCTTCATTGGATTTGTGTGGCAGGGTTTTGGGTAGGCACTGGTGGTAGATTGTCTGCTAGAATCTTCTCCCATGTCTGGCAGAGCCAATGCCAGCTGCCTCCAAGGAAGGACTCGGTGAACAAGGCTGAGCCTATCACTGACAGTGGTATCATCTCTGGGATAATGTATTTAGGAAGGGGGGAAAAGCCCTGTGCAACTGCAGCCAGAGAGAATAATGAGTATATGGAGGATGGATATACAAAACCACTCTGCAGACCCCAAGTTCATTGCAGAAGGAGGCTCAGGACCTGCTCCAGGTGCCAGAGCAGATTCCCCTGAAGCCCAAAGTGCAGGCTGTGGTGAGGCAGCTGCACCCATGCAGGAGCAGAGATTCACCTGCTGCCCCTGGAGGACCCCACTGCAGAGCAGGTGGATGCCCAAGGGAGGCTGTGGCCCCTTGGGAAACCCACACTGCAGCAGGATCCTGGCAGGACCTGTGGCTCCATGGAGAGAGGAACCCATGCTGGAGGAGGGACATAGTGTGAGGAGTTCTCTCCCTGAGCAGGAGGGAGCAGCAGAGGTTACATGTGATGAAGTGACCAAAACCACCATTTTCATAACCTGAACTGCTGGGTGAAGGAGGTATAGAAAATCAGGAGTAAAATTAAGCACAGGAAGGAGGGAGGTGTGGGGGAGAGATGTTTTAAGTGTTGACATTACCTGTCATTATCCTACCTTGACTGATTGCTAAAAAAATTTATTTCCTCAAGTTGAATCTGTTTTGCCTGTGTTGGCAATTGGTGATTAATCTCTCTATGCCATTGTTTTGGTCTCTGAGCCTTTCCTTATTTACCTCTCCTCTGCCCAGCTGAGGAGTGGAGTGTTAGAGCAGCTTTGGTGAGCACCTGGAATCCAGCCAGGGTCAACACACCTGTCAAAGCAGGAAGCTTTAAAAAAAGTTTAAAGCTGCCTGCCAAGCTGGGCTCTAAGTTACATTATATTGGTTTGGTTACAGCCCTAGTTCTCTTCCAGTTTAAATTTGTTTTTATTTTATTTTTTATTTTATGCCTTCAGGCATAGGAAACACAACAGCAGGAACATTTTAACTAATATATTTCTGATCTTTAAAGTAATCCAGAAGTGTGGATTTTCTGAATAACTTCTGCAAAGATGGGAAAAAAAGAAGGAATCACTTGAAAGGATTTTACACTATCTCCAGCAAGGGACTGAGGATTTGTAATCAGGTTTCTTTTTGTCTGCAAGGGACCACCAAGTGTCATTTCGAGACAAAAAGAAACCTGATTACAAAAAGTAGCAATGTGATTGATTAATTAATGATATAATTAAATTAATGTAATGAAAGGATACTACAGACATTAGACACAGATGTGTTTAACATCCCAAAAAC